GAGGGCCCCAAGGCTTTAGCAAGCTTATAATGTTCGGGTGGACGCGGAAGGCGTGGTGGTAAGGGAACCAACTTCTGTGGGTCATTCGTTAAAAATTGGGAACGATACCAGAGAAGGATTAGCATGGGCCCTGCGCCAAGGATGACACGCATAAATCGAGAAAGTATCGCAACTTTTTTGCTTGTTGCGTGGTCGGTGTGCTCCGGCTGATAGTGAGCATTGTAACTGTGCGGCTGTTAAGGTGGGAAAACGGACAGAGAAACGAAGGACGCGCAAAAGCTTAAAGCATGAGGGAAGAGGGGATCGAACCCCCGACCGCTGGGACTGGAATCCAGCGCTCTACCACTGAGCTATTCCCCCGATACCAAACCCAATGTCCACACATGCAGACTCCATCCACACACCGATACGCATTACAAGATCCACAATTTCTACCCACTCACCCCGCCACATCTCACCCTTCTTTACTTCTACGACGAAACCACGTCACGAGCACCTCGCACACATCTCTCCGCTCATCGAAGCGTCGTTTGAAGTGGCGGAGCCCTTACCGATGCGTCGCAGCAGCTTTAAGGAAAGGAGTTGATGTGGCAATGTGGCATGCGCTGAGTTGGCGGTGATGTAGTAGTTGACGTATGGTGTATGCATGGACGGTGAGTGCGATGTATGCATGTTCGTGCGTATGCTTTTATTGTGGTGTATGTGGTGCTCGTGCTGTGAATGTGTCTCTTTGAGTCGAGGTCCGTAAGCCCCTATAGCTCAGTGGTAGAGCACTCGCTTCGTAAGCGAAAGGTCGGTGGTTCGATCCCGCCTGGGGGCTCTTCTTTTGCCTCTCCTGCCTCACTACTTCCTTACCGATGCCTTCAGCTTACTAGCTTGCTAGTTTGCTAGTTTGCTATTGTGCACTTTGCGTGACCAGCCTGTCCGTAGCCACACTCAATACTCGCTCTGTTGTACGCTGACTGCTCTTCATTATTGTTCCACCACATCTAGTACCTAGACACCAACATTCAGATCTTCCAGATGAATTCTTGGTGTTGCGGCTGCTCGACGCCGTAGGTAAAGTCGTGCCGAAGACTGCTGTCGCGTGTGAATCGTGTCTGTGACAATATATAAGAAGATATCATCACGAGCAGCAACAACTGTCGGATCCGCTAGCATGATGTCACTGAGTCTGACCGTGCAAGTTGCCCCCCCCCCTGTTGAGAGTATTATGTACGAGATGATATCCGTGGCGGGTAGAACATAAGCAGCGTACGTAGGTGGTGGCCAACATGCCACCAGCCGAAGACATGCAGAGGTGAAAGACGCTGAATGTTTTGACGATTGAAGATTGTGCTGCCGGCGAGTGTGGATGTTCTCTCTTAGTGTTGTCAGTATTTGATAAAGGCGTACGGTATGCGCCGTATCTATGGGTGGTAGCACAGGTCGTGACGGTATGTGCGGGGTGGTCGTGAGTTTGGTTTGGTTAGTTTGAATCTGATGAGGGTGGGAGTGGACATCTATGTTTTTGTTGCATAGCGATGACAGCTTGGCCGAGTGGTTAAGGCGTTAGCCTGCTAAGTTAATGGGGCAACCCGCGTGAGTTCGAATCTCACAGCTGTCGTTTTCCTTTACCTCAGCAGACTCGCGGTAGCAAAAGCGGCTATTTCCTGGCCTGCTGACCAGGTAGATAGATACCTCTGCTTGTTGCTGGATAATGGTCCCGACCAACACACGTGGCCAAGCGTGTGAAGACATTGCGCAGCTAATCTGGAAATGCTGGTGGATGCATGGACTGGGCTGGTAGTCCTTCTCTTTTCGACGAAAGTGGTTCTGGATGTGAGGCCCAAGGCTAGCAGCTATATGTCGGTGACGCGGGTCGTGTGGTAGGAACCACTTCGGTGGTCATCCGTAAAAATTGGAACGATACAGAGAAGATTAGCATGGCCCCTGCGCAAGGATGACACGCATAAATCGAGAAGTATCGCACTTTTTGCTTGGTGGCGTGGTCGTGGGCTCGGCTGATGGTGAGCATTGTAACCGTGCGGCTGTTAAGGTGGGAAAACGGACAGAGAAACGAAGGACGCGCAAAAGCTTAAAGCATGAGTAAAAAGGGGGGACCGAACCCCCGACCGCTGGGACTGGAATCCAGTGCTCTACCACTGAGCTATTCCCCCGATACCAAAACCCAATGTTTACACATGCAAACTCCATCCACACACCGATACGCATTACGAGATCCACAATTTCTACCCACTCACCCCGCCACGTCTCACCCTTCTTTACTTCTACAACGAAACCACGTCACGAGCACCTCGCACACATCTCTCCGCTCATCGAAGCGTCGTTTGAAGTGGCGGAGCCCTTACCGATGCGTCGCAGCAGCTTTAAGGAAAGGAGTTGATATGGCAATGTGGCATGCGCTGAGTGGGCGGTGATGTAGTAGTTGACGTATGGTGTATGCATGGACGGTGAGTGCGATGTATGCATGTTCGTGCGTATGTTTTTATTGTGGTGTATGTGGTGCTCGTGCTGTGAATGTGTCTCTTTGAGTCGAGGTCCGTAAGCCCCTATAGCTCAGTGGTAGAGCACTCGCTTCGTAAGCGAAAGGTCGGTGGTTCGATCCCGCCTGGGGGCTCTTCTTTTGCCTCTCCTGCCTCACTACTTCTACAAACAAGTACAGTAGTGCACAGCTGATCAACGCAAAGCTTCGTTTTCGAATGAGGGACCGACTCATTTGAGTTCGTGATGTTGTAAAGTGAGCCTTGTTTCCTAGAAATATTGCTGTTGTGACCAGATGGTGATAGTATCTTGCTTTTTGGATTATTACTCTCATATGTAAACAGGACTCCCGATTAATGCATAAGTATATTAATTAATGTACTTTTTTAATGAGCGCGGTTGAAAATGCATAATGTATGGGAAGAAAAATTATGTCTTCACACTTTAAAACTAGTTTTTGTATGTAAAGGCCATGCTACGTCAAACAAAATGATACTTACGAGCCATTTAGAGTTATCGAGATAATCGAGCTTAAAGTTGGCCAATTAATTTTCGCACTTAACCGGAAAACAGGTGACATTTATTGTAAACTTCCATTCGAAGAAAAACTGTAAACCTACCCCTTAATCAATTTGCCTTTAAACAAGGAGCCTTTAAAATAACACTTGAATTTTTAAAAAATTGAAAAAAAATATTGAGCTCACAACACTCCTAAAAGTTATGGTCATTTCGAGGGTCCATAAATGGAGATAATATTTGTGAGCGACCACAACTTGTTCAGTTTTAAGCATTATGGCTTATAAGGGCTCAAAAGATAGAGGAGACGCCCCGCTTTCCTTAAATCGCGATTCGTACTTAGGTCATTTTGTTTTGGGTTGTCTCACACATATTATGTGGTTTCCATTATTGGCCATTATGCGTGGACGGGTTTCTCAGATTCAAATGCATATTATATGGGAGCCTCGAAATTTGATTGCGATTAATGCCATTATCGGGAGCCCTGTATATATAGAGTATCAGTCATTTTAATTACTCTTACTATTTTAATGAGCTGTCAAAGCTACGATA